TTTGAATTCCACACCGATTGTCATTTTGAACCTAAAAGTCATACTATGCTTATTCGTTACCAGTTGTCCCTTGTAGGTTTCCCGACTTTCATTAGAAACAGTCGATTGGCCGACTTATGATATCAATCACAGTGTGAAAGTTAATGTAGAAGACGAGTAGAAAAACATTGGTTCCAACACGAATATCCGAATAACTTTTCGGACTGTAAACGGAACCAGAGGGGGAAATTCTTGGGCTGCGTAACAAAGTGGTCTAAACATAAGAGGCTATTGGCCATGCGATCAGCATTGATCTGGATGTTTACCACCACGTTTTCGAAACATCCATGGTTTTGTCCATCCTACTCAGTTTTCGCTGTCGCTACACTTTACGGTAAGGTTAAATCCAGCCAACTAGGTGGCACTGCGTGACATTACTTTTTGTTGGCGTCGGGACTGAGATATTAGAGACCAGGTTTCGTGAGCACACTGGCAGCCCGGGTGTCCCCATGGTTGTGAATTACAGTGAGTGTCCTCTTGATGATTGTTGCCGGCACGGCATTTGGTTGGCGGCTGGAAGTGTCACTTAAAACTTGTGCTCTGATGCACCAGCAACTGAGCATCATTACTTTGTCGTGTGAGGAGGCCAACGGTGATAGTGCCAAGTTTACAACGCAGCCTAATCCAAAAAAAATTCAGTTGGGTGTGAGCGATCCCTTCATTCACATCCATGACTGTACAGATCACCGCCACTCACTAGATCACGAGATGTGTTTTTCTGCTTACACTCACAAATCACGCCACACAATCGTGACTCACTCGACTACACAGATCACAGTCACCCCTAGATCACGGGATTCGCCTTTTTTCCTTAAACTTGCAAATCACGACACACAAGGGTGACTCATCTGATAGGTGTAGCGGGAAGTCATCTGTCGACACTCACGTACACGCAAGCATAAATACATATAGGGAGACTGAACACAAGCAGCGCACTCACTCGCGTGCAGGGAGCAGAAAGTCAATCACTCTTCACAAGTCAACGGAAGATTACGGAACACGTGTAGCAGCCAGACCGCGGAGAAAACGTCTCCACAGTCCGGACCTTCACCAAGGAACTCTCACAAACGATTATTTCCTCTTGTCTTGCTTCACATTTTTCACATTGCATTTATTTTTATACGTGTTGAAACTCACCATTGTCAACCATGATAAAAACTTTCATTAGCGCACATACCTTCTGAATTATATTATAGCTACCATGCACTGTACACTAATAGGTGCTTCCGTTCATAACACCACTGCTACAACAATGCGGACGTCTGTTCCTAGCTCGAGATGCAAACGAAAACGGATGCATGTCGTCATTGATGTGACACATCATCTAGTCCAAGCAATTTCAGACTGCGGATCGCGATGTTACCACACTGCGCAATAAGACTGGCTTAAGGGACATCAAAACAGTTGTCTTTGGGCCATGTAAAAATTTATATATATACTGTGTGATGTTTTAGTTCTCTCTTTTTATGTCCCCCTACCCACAGTACCGTTTTGATGGGCCACACCTTGGTGAACGAGGACCGTCAAATTTTCACAAAGTAATCGGACAAGCTACCTGTAGTGACCACGAAAATCGATGAAGAAAACGCCTCGGTTCGCTCCGGGAAACTTTCCTTTTGTTGCTCTATTTTTAGAGTGCAAGTAGTCCTCCACAGCGGCATTCCGAACGCTGCACTGGCCACTCGAAATCGCCTGACTGTGATTGATTAATCTTCTGATTGGTTCTTTAGCATCTTGTGTCAGGCGGTCGTTGTTAGTTTTTAGAGCCCTGATTGACTATCTGCGTTGCCGACCCCCACAGTTGAAACTTGTTGGCTGGATATCCTGTGAAATACCGAGGTGATTAGTTTGTAGGCTTCGAACCTCAATCGGACAGTAACTGGATGATCGTGTTGAACTATATCTTGTAGCATTCTCTTCACTACCTCCTACCTATCCACTGCTCTGTTTTGATCGGGAATTCCTCGTACTAGAGTGCCACACTTCAGCTGTTCGTATATCTAGGTAGCGAACCGCAAGAGGATTATCGTTTTCGGGGTTTTGCTACGATAATTACACTTTTTGGTGACAGTCCGAAAAACTCACTAGCTTTGAGTGTTTATCATTTGGTTTACTACCAATTTTGTCAGCCTGGATCTTCGGCTCAAAACAGACGGATGTATATTTTTGGGCTTCAATGAGTCCTATATTTAATATACAATAACTTTCTAATAGGAAATCATAGTGAAGTTCCAGAGAAGATTGAATCAGACATGGGCGGGTATCTCTAGCTCTTATGTTCTGGTGTTGAGCGGCCAGGCGTACTTTTGATACCAACAGTATTAAGGACACTGTTAGGACTACTGATAAGTTTCGAACTGCGCTTTTGGGCGGTGTCAGGTTGCCATTAACTGATAGACCTAATTTATGGGGAGAAACACAGTCGATTCGGATATAGTACTGTGAGCTTATAGCGACCAATGTTTACAGGATAATACTTTGTAATCGTTGGCACTGTTGATTACCCCAGTGATTCAGTAACTGGAAGATTGTGTCAGTTGTATGCTTTCCTGTTGGGAAAACATGGAATGTGCTGTGGTAAGTTCCACATCTTAGGCTGATATCAAGTAACCCTAGAACTAAAATAAGCAAACAAAACACTTTACATTCAGAACCAAAATATTCAGAAAAGAACAAGGCTGGAAGTTGTCCGACGATCCGTGTATGTTGTTCGGAAAGTGTGTCTGCATACACTTGGATTCTTTTCGACCGTATACTGTTTAGTATGCGGGTGCTATCCCCGAATTTGATAAGAGATTTTTCCCTATAGGGAATGAACAACTGCTGTTTGCATGAATCTCACTACCAGATTTTTTGAAAAACAGTATTGAAGCATTCCAAATGTTTCATTGGACATTAGGCATTTCGCCTATTGGCAACGCGCATCTTTGTTTAAGTAAACTGGTAACAGGATATGGGGTCTAGTTAGCTAGCTATTAAATGCATTATATAAGAACAGAATATAAGAAATGACCGTTTACGCCAGGCATAATTGTGACTCGTCCAGTCTGCATTCAGTAATCCGCGGCAGCGATGGAATCAACAACAAGGTAGATCGGCATCAGATAGACCTTAAAGTTAGAAGTCCAGAAGTATAAGGGAAAATACACGTCCAAGAACGGACTCAAACTGAGGGTCTCTCATATGAAACTGGGAAGTTAGAAGTCCAGAAGTATAAGGGAAAATACACGTCCAAGAACGGACTCAAACTGAGGGTCTCTCATATTGAAACTGGGCGGAGTTGTGACAGATCAGCTGTGAATTTCGGGAGGATAAGCGTAATGAAGAGCAGGAATCCTTGATAGCTCAGTCGCCAGAGTGCCCGTCCGGTAAGCCGGAGGTAGGTGGTTCGCGTGAGCCTGAAGGCATGTCATTCATTCATACCTTGGGTATTTGAACTCTCCATAGTGGAGTTAACAACACTCGATACTCAGATACACATTAACCTCCCTATAGGAGGAAGTTGTTGCACTTCTACGGCTATTAGTAACTTTAGGATAATCCAATTCAGTCTCAAAATACATACAAAGAATGGGCAGTTACAGTTACAAAAGAATCTAGTTAGGGTAAATCCTAAAGTTTAATGAATCTAGTAGCGGCTGAAGAAATGCTAAAAAAGACTGATGATTGTCGTGGCAGTTCTGAAGTCCGCACGAGTCATGCCGAAATAGCACAATAGACAAGTTTCAGATAGCCGTGATCACCAAGTTAATGGCTCCGATTCATCGCAATGATTTGCCACAGATGGGACAAGACTTTAATTTGGTTTAAAAGCTCTGACCTATCCAGACTTAATTAAAAAGCGATAAAAAGTTGTTTTCCTGTGAAACAATTTTCTGACTAGCGGTTGTCAACTGATTTTGTTCAGAAAACCCTGACTGATATGAGTCAACGTAAATTTCCCTCCAGGATCGTCCAACTCAAAGGATGCATCCCAAAAAGTATGTGAATGACTGCTTCCGTATAACGGCCATCACTTCAACTACACCTCCACAGTACATTAATGCGAAACTACAGGTTACTCGTGCGAGATGGTCCATTCTGCTTTGGTTTTTAATCATGCGCCTCTCCGAATCATATTGACTTCTAATACCATTAGCAGCTTACGGTGTTCAAATTTGAGTTAAAGAGTTCCGCAGTTGCTGATAGTTTAGCCGCTGTCGTCAATTATTGTGTGTGTACTAGAAAGCATTAAGAAAGGTCTTCGGAATTTAGGGTCAGCACATCAACCTGTGTAAATACGAACCTAAAGATTCCCAGAGTCCAATGAGAAATACAAGACCGGTCAACAACACTTACGACTGCCAGTCACGCCTGTCCATTACAGTATCACTGAATTCGCCCATAGTTTCCACCTCCGTATGGAGAAATAACTTATAACTAACTGCTTTTGTGTGATATCCTTTATCTAGTTGAGACCTTTTGTAACGTACTACTCATAAGGTTGCTGAAAATCCGTCGACAGCCCACGATCGGTTTCGCCCTTTTTGGGGCTCATCAGGAAGGCGCAGTCTCCGGGTTTCCGTCAACCTTATGTTCTACTTGAAACCAAATTGCACGAAATTAGCGAATATACACCCATCTGCAAACTAATTTGGTCTTTTTCGAGAGACTCACCTGGAACTAAGCTGAATCTCTCGTTCGTGATGTTCTTAGGCAAACGAGAGATTCAGCTTAGTTCCAGGTGAGTCTCTCGAAAAAAACTAAATTAGTTTGCAAATGAGTGTATATTCGCTAATTTCGTGCAATTTGGTTTCAGGTAGAACATAAGGTTGACGGAAACCCGGAGACTGCGCCTTCCTGATGAGCCTCAAAAAGGGCGAAACCGATCGTGGGCTGTTTAAGATATTTCACTGGCTGCACCAGTAGAGGTCCCTCTTAATCCAGAAGACAAACGAAATGCTTCGTAAATTTTCTTTCAGTTTCCTGTAAAACCTGGTGGCGTTTCAGACGGAAGCAACACGTTAAAAGCTGATCAGGACCAAATGCTCTCTATGGTGAACGAATCTTTATCTGGCGAATAAAATTGCTTTGAATACTTTTTTTACACAAGCTGTGGTCACCGAGGAGGCTGTTATCCCACGTATTTAATTGCCCACCTGTATGAAAAAGCACAGGTGAATGCGTTACGTTCAACAACCTTTCTTTCTCGCGCAACGGCCTGCCTGAATTTGCCACTACGTAACCCGCAGTGGTGGATAGGAGAAGGCGACAGTGAAGACCGATGAATCGACCGCAACCGAAATAAAAAAATATGTCCAGATTCAACAAACTGTGCCCAAAAGCGCATGGGTTTTACCAAATTAAGTGTCAGGACTGATACCAGAGGGATTAGCAAAGATCAGCCCGTCGGTTTAAAGGGGAATCTCAATCCCGGGTGAAATAACCGCCCAATCTTCAGAAATCTTTATTCGATTGATGATTCACACTTTTGGGACACAATAAGATCCGAACAAAATCTTTTCTCGGTGAGTTTATCCAAGAGTATTTCATATACAAAGCAGCCTGTTGACTCTACTAACAAGGACGAAATACAGACTGAATGCCATACCAGATCACCAAATGTGCGATCGATTTTGACAAAACTCCTTTGCCAGCTAGAGGAATCCGTAGAAGGACAAAAAGTCTATAAAAATGCTCGACAGAAGTCATTTTAGCGGTCTGGATTTCCCCAAACTGTAGTCAAAAACAATAAACAATTGAATGCAGTTTTATAGATTTACCGCTCGTTCCATCGAGTGAACGAAATTGACTCCTACATACTTAATCAGCTGTTTAGCCCATTTCGCGCCGGTCGATAAGGGTGACGGAAGCATCTGAATGGCTATTGATCGGTGGTCATGTGTCACTGCCTGCTAAAATGACAGAGATTGGTGCACTTCAGTTGGCCCTGCACCGATTTTTTGGAATTATGACTACAACGTAGCTATTTCTGTGACGCATCGAAAAGAGTTTGTGCACCCGGAACTGGTAGAAGAACTATAGACCGGAGAAACTTCTGGAATATTTGGTTAGAGATGAGCGAAGCAAAGCGACCAGTACATAAAACAGCATTCCTGATTCAGTCCTGCGACCATGGCAATCGTCGGATTCGAGGAAACTATCATGAAGGAAGAAGTGTAACTATCAGAGTGGTGAGATTTCTGTCCAGAACGATCTAGGTGGCGTAGAAATAACAGAAGAGCACCGAAAATTCGTTCGGGGGCTTCAAACAAGTCAAACTGTGGAATAAGAGATAATGTTGTCTATTTAGTTGAGATGTATGACCCTGAATAGCGATATTGGTTTCAAAACGCAATATAAGTTGGCAGATTTTAATATATAGTAGATTCAAATGCGACGTTGACCATGCTACTCGGTTGATTCTGACTTTGACGGAGCTGCCGCAGCCAAATGGACTAAATTAAACCGTGGAATGCGAAAAATCCATCCCTAATGAATTACACAGTGATCTTTCTGGAACACGGTCACCCTTAGAATAACTTTGGTTAGCACTGTTTTAGTACTTACCCAGTGACTTGAATCAAGTTCGATCGCTGTAAAGAACTTTTGAGCACTCGTGAATGTGATTCGTATCAGGACGTGTTGTATTCATGGGATAAGAGGTTTCCTATTCATGCTATGCACATATAACGCTACTATTCTCAACGATGACGGAATTCGCATTCCACCAGCGCATTGTATTACTGTTTGTCTGATAGAATATGTGAATAACCTGCGTCTATGGGCTGCTGATTAGTGCATCATATTTGGACCTCTCTTGTTATTCTTCCAAAATGGTTCCAGTATTTGGAATTACGGGGCATAAAGTGAGGATTGGCTTGCTGCTTAGTGAGGCTTGCTGAACGGAAGAGAGGTTTCCAGAGCTCAAATGTTTTACTATTCAGGATATTATTGAAGACAAACTCTGTATTACGGCATTCACCACATATGCCTAGGACTTCCACAATTTATCTTAGACGAGTGAGTGGTTGATAGCCTCACACACATGTCATCATCACTTATTAGCGTGATCTCTGGAAATGGCGGTTCCTCTCCGGTTTTTTCACAGCAGGCAGATAAAATCGGTAAATTCTAACCGTCCAGTTCTCTTACACATAAGAAAATGCTAAGCTTGTCTCACGTGATATTACCAAATCATCCTTCTGTTTGACAGAAGTCTGTTACTTTAAAGTGTGGTGGAGTACCGTGGACCAAAAATGGATAAGGTGACGAACTACTTCCGACGTGACAGTAATACTATGGGGTAAGATGAATTTGACATTCAAATGGAACGGGGGTCATTTTTTCCAGATGTAAAAAGAAAGGCTGCCATCTTGGCAAACGTTTTGACTGAGACGAAGCGGCGAAGGTTCTCAGAAAAGTTGAAACCTTGGACGGTAGAAGACGAACAAGCAAAACAGTCAGAACCGATAGAATAAACATCGGAGGAAGACTTGTGGCGCTGGATAATTGGGACAGTTACGTATCATGATACTTGCAGAACAAGAATCGCTAATTTACACGAAATCGTCCTTCACGGTCATTCCAAATGCGGAAAAAAGTAAAACTAGAAGGGACAGGACCCGACAGGTTATGGCACCGTCGACGACCTGCTGCCAGTATCACTGTGTTCAGAGTCTTTTTTCTTCTTACTAATTACTCCTGTTAATAACTTTTCAATACATCACATGTGCTTTCCGATTTCACGTAAAAGACCGACTGAAATCGGAGGGTATTCCTCCCTAGTCAGACCAGAACCTGACGATACCGTGATTAAACTGTTGGTGAGTTTTTATCAATACATAATTGGCATCCCTTGCGAAAGAAAAATACTTCCATTGGGCGCGTGTTGGTTTAAAACGGCTGTCGATTAGTGACAGAAACCGACAAAACCCCCCATAGTTGTCCTACGGATTGCACTGCAAATGGCCACTGCTCTGACTCAGTCTTTTGCAGCTCCAAGATAACGCTTAATTCAGTAGTTCGCGCACCAAATCCTGTCAATGCAGAATGTGACTATACGATGGCAAACTATGGATTAAACAGTAACATGTCGACCCGGAGAAACCATTTACTTTCATCTTGTTTCCATCAGTTAGACAGATCACCCTACAGACAGACTGATCACACTACAAACCCTACAGTAGGAGACTATCACACGATGAAGGGTAACAAAGAGGTGGCTTTTATATGGAGGTTACTAGCGGCAACATGAGACGAAGTTCGATAGAAGCCTTCTGCATTTAAACAGATTTCAAAGCGCCTAAAAACCGCATACGTGTTTGCCCTGTGCATATCTCACAATCTCGAGAAATGGCTCATGGAGAACCTGGGATTTCATACAGCCGTCTTCATGGATGGGGTCAAACTGGTGGTGCCTCCGGATGCGGGAAAGTTTAAAGGAAATTGACCGGAAATGACCTGGGCCGACTATCCTGGAAAGCATCCATCCTCAGAGGGTTTCTTTTGATCGTTTCTTCATTCCGAATCAAGCCACTTCCCCTCTGAGGCTAAATAATGACGTTTCTATGCTTTGTAATTGTGTTAATGGTTCCTGGCCAAACTCGGCTCGGATATTGTCAAAAAGACTTAGCACCATTTGGACAATTTAAAAGTCAAAGCACAGTACAGTGGAATAGGATGCTTTAACCCGACGCTTCGTTTGCTGTGGGCAACCTTTTTCCAAGTATTTCTTATTGCACGGTGCTGTTTTGACTGTAAAATTTTTCATACCTCGTAAGTAGCTCATCCATGATGGTGAAGTTTGGACTGTCATTCAACTAGAATTGTCTTTTGGAACCGCTCAATAAATATTCCGAAAACCACACGCTAAACCTGCTCAGTATTTTCTGGCCAGAACCCACACCACACTGATAACGCCCCTAGAATAGAAACGTAAAGCTCGGAAACCAACTACCAAACTCAGCGAGCTCACCTACGAATGAATCCACCCGAGCTATCAATAGTCCACAATATTACTTTCCTAATACAATCGTTATCGAGCCTCTAGGATAACAGAAGACACGCGAGGGAACTCGAGAACCAGACACAGTCTGCCCACGTGGTCCGGGGGAAGAGATAGTCATCAGAGGCTATTAATGAAAGCGTTTAGCAAACGACCAATTATTGGTTCAGATCTTCATTGATATATGGATGCTAATGGTCTGATTTTAACTAGTCACTGAAATATCCAATAACGTGTTTCAGGTTCGGACAGATGCGTGTACATTGGTGCCCTCAGATTTCTTCCCTGATATGAGGTAAGTCCTCTCCAAAAAATTCTCACCCGCTCAAGAAACACTAATCTCTCCCCCCGATGAGGCGAAAACTATTCAGACGATCCTCTTGCCGCCAGAAGGTTTTCTTGTTATGCCCACGTCTTGTGTACCGTAGCTAAAGCAAGTGATAAACGTGCACTATGCGGCTCTTGCCTGCTCTGAAGTCAGTGATGTGAAGACTGAAGACTTATAGCATGTGAAAATTAGAACGCAGTTCAAAACGAATCTACCAACTGCTGAAGACGGTGTGAAAACTTCCACCGTTTTATGAATCGAACAGACATCCAATCGGTTTAACTTTCCGAGAGTGGGTTTGGAATACAGAATTTATTCGCTCCGTGGAGAACAGTCTCTCTCTCTCCGTATATATATGCATATGTATATATATGCACGGAAATAAGGCCCTGACAATATGGAGCACAAGGTCAGCTACTGGCATCAGGCAGAAACAAACAGACAGAGAATGGGAAATAATGTGTACACGAAAGATCGCGGTACCAAGTTGGATAAACAATGACAGTACAATAGTAGATCAAAATAGAATAATAACACATTTTCAAAATAAAAAAGGGAAACGGAGAAAAATAGTAGGCTTGGATAAGGAGCAAAGTAAAATGTGATGACAATTCAAAGTCAAATAGGTGGAAAAGACGAGTTCGAGTTGATTAGGCAGTAGGCTAGAAGCATACACGTGGTGCACGCAAGCTGAAAGCAGTGCTGGTGGTGCGTACGAGACATCCGATGGTACAAAACAAAGAAGTAATGTGAGTCTCTCCGATACTCTGAAGAAATGCACGAGGTAAAAACTTGTCACTAGAAAAGTAAATCCGGACAATGAATATGGTAACCATAACAAGTACGCGTTAGACAACTGTCGGAGCATGAGAGAAAAATAGCGACCATGAATCACAGTTACCGAGTTTGTACACGTTGGGCGGATGAGAGTCGAATTATCATTGGTTTTTTTAACCAAAAAAGGCGAGAAAGACTAGAATTCTGCTCAGAGTTGTTAAAACCTAGTAACCACTTTCTTAAGAACGAGGTTAGATGTTGTCCTATGTGTTGATTTGGTTCAGGCAGGATAGGTCACACAGAATGGGATCGTACCGCAAGATATTAGCGGAAACCACAGCTGGAAAGGTGAACCCATCTGGAACACGTAGAACCTCGTGTGGTACGTTCTCTTCCAAACTCAAAGAGAGTAGGCCTGAAGTTGAAAAATGTATCAGCTGCTTCCCATCATCTGTGTATATCTGCTTGTCGTTGTGAGTTTCGCTGACTGCATCGATTAATACATCCTGATCAACCGATTCCAAACTGTGTGTGTTCGCGTCAGGCACGATGGACTTCACTCGCATAGCGATTAGGAGACGGAGACGCGGTGAATGACTGACCGCTCCTTCTGCTGAATTGTGGTCAGTAAAGCGAATAATTGAGAAAGTCCTGCGTGAAAGAGAAGTGAACCAGTTGGGGATAGTGATCTATGTACAGGACCATTTGAACCAAAAATGCACGTCACGAGACATTCAGCTGAATAAATAAATAGGGTCCCTCAACAACGGACATCTTGGGAGGATGGTCAAGGCAGTCTCAAGTGGGATGTGGGTTCGCACCTACACGAAGGTTACTCGGAGATTTTCCATAAAACCTTCAGTTGTACGTTTACCTTTTGGCAACGAAAAACTCAAGTCTATAAGGATGCCATCTCGAATACTTAGGAGACAGCTGCTTTTGTATGTTTAGCGTAGATCTATCCAAGTTTAAATAACCTGGTTGAGGGGTGCTTGTAGCGACCCAGTCACCCATATACTTGACTGTTCAACTCAGTCGCTCACTGGATCGCGAGGCTTGTCTGTTTTCTCATACGCACAAACACGTCGCATTAAGCTGAATCATCGGACATCGATTGTCTGCACCGCCCAATCAGCGTAGCAACCACTCATGTGCCGACGCGCTCACGTATACGCCCTGGGACCTACATAAAAGCAAACCGAACCCAGTCAGGACGCACAGACTCGCGCGCGCGCAGGGAGCAAGGAGTCAGCCAAATACTCAATCGCCCACTGGATCGCGAGGCTTGTCTATTTTCTCATACGCACAAGCACGTCGCATTAAGCTGACACATCGGACATCGATTGTCTGCACCGCCCAATCAGCGTAGCAACCACTCATGTGCCGACGCGCTCACGTATACGCCCTGGGACCTACATAAAAGCAAACCGAACCCAGTCAGGACGCACAGACTCGCGCGCGCGCAGGGAGCAAGGAGTCAGCCAAATACTCCAAGTCCACGGACAATTGTGGAATACGTGTAGCAGTCGAACTGCGGAGAAAAACACGTTCCCACCGTCCGGACTTCCACCAAGGGACTCTCACACCCGATAAGTTCCCTTTGTTTGACTGGCTCCCATTTCGCACTGTATTTGTTTTTATACGTGTCTCAACCATACTAAAAACTTCTATTAGTGCACATACACCCGATTTGTATTATGGATAGCACCACCTGTGCACTAATATACTCTCAAAGTGGCGAGGAGCTCCTAATCAACGACAGTTTAAAACCGACTGCAATCTCTTCTGCAACGGACCAAACGATTTTAGTGCAACCTCGATCCGTTTTCACTCAAAACTTTGGTATCTGTCTGATAGCTCCTTCCATTGCAATACCTAACCCCCCTACAAACTACGATAAGAACGAAGTCAGTTACCAAAATCATCACAAGTACAGGCTGAGACGAAACTTTGTTCGTTGGCCATTGATCCAAATAGCAGGCTCTGATTCAGCGGCTAAGTTTCCAAACTTCGCAATTTGCAAGCTCGAATCGGTTTCAGAAAACTCTAACTGGACACAATGAGCATTGATCACATGTGAAATGGTCATTTCTGTCTGCCATTTGCTGGCTCACTGGCCGCTGTTCATTCCATACCCAATCCCCACACTAATTCTGAGAAAATATGAGCCGTTCTACATGACAGGGATCGAGTGCAAGTAAAATGGCTCAGGATTATATACGAAATTAACTGGATTACAAGGACCGCGTCAAAGTGCTGCGCCACCACTGAGCACTATTGTATGTTTGGGCAAGTAAGTTTAAGACCAATGAAAACTTCTGTTTTTGGCAAGGAAGTTGTTGTCCACCTCAGAAAGCTTCCGACCCAAGTGTATCTCACACTTGTCGCGGCTCACCTGATAGATGCGGTGAGATCGGATTAGTAATTAGGGGATCCTCTATAAAGGCAGCCACAAACTCAAATCGACCACATTGCCATCAGTTACCGATGGCGCGGATCCATAACTGACTGCCGGTCGTTTTGGAACACATTTGTGGACTCTGACCACGCGCTCGTCCGAAGTCGCTTCGCCCTACGTTTCCCGGGGCCGCATAAGGTGAGGACAAATCGCATGGCAACTGAAAGACTGGCAGATCCGAACGTCGGATGAATTTACCAGAATAATTTTCTAGAGTCTCTTCTAAGTGCTCCACCATCAG